AACTTTATTCTTCGCAGAAATAAGGTCTGTTTTATAAAGGAATACATAAAAAATGTAAATATAATGACCACGTTATACACAACATTATACTTTACTAATTTCTAATATAAGAATTTATATTTAAATATAAAAAATGAACTTTCTCGTCAAAGTTTACCTCAAGTTAGGAACTAATTTTTAAAGAATCACCAAGAAATAGCACGATTACCTTGTATTTCATGCCAACAGAATATACGCGCCCGTTCGTGACTCGTGTTTCCATACAATTTTATTCGAAATTTACCTTCATTCTGATTCTGAGAGGTACTAACGGTTTAGTGAAGTTATTATAACAAAAACCAGTTCATCTGTTCGTGCAGGTATATCGTATGGTTTCACTTCTTTTGGAAACGTCGAAAGGTTATGAAAGCACAATCTGGTTTAAGTTCTTGGTGTAACAACAGTAGGAAGTGTGCGTCATACTTGTTTCTATACCTCCCTCTCTTCACAAATGGAAAGTCTGGAATCACCACAGTTCCTTCTTCGTAAATAGGCGGCCTGGGAACTCCATGTCGAGCAGAGCATTCGTCCTTGCGGTCATTATATTTTAGCAAAGGCGAGTTCACCGATCACTGATTCCGAATCAATAATTACGGTGTTTTTTGGAATTTTAATTCCTCACTTGAGAAATTAACTCTTCCGCGAAAGACTATTTACAAGGTTACTCGACAGTGCTAGTTTTGAAATCTCAGGACACGTTTAGTGTTTCGAAATCTGAACAAAGATGATTCTGAGTACACGTTCTAGGAGATAACATGATGGTACGTGTAGAGAAAAAATTAGTGTGAAACATTAATGAGAATTATGCATACCCGTATCTATAAAGAAAAATAGTATCGATAGAACTGAAGTTTTTAATTGAGATTGTGATTTTCGAGCAAACTCGCTTGGAATATAAAACATTAGTCTGTTTGCTTGAATAAAACGAAATACAAAATATTTTATACAATTGGTTTCAATGTTTCTATGAAATAACATTTAAAAAATGAAACAGTAAATATATACGATCACTTGGACGTTCATAGAGTTAAAAATCAGAAATTATTTCTGAAGAAGACTTTTCAGAATTTTATGTTACTGTATTATGGAATTATTCTCACATCTTTATTGTGGCGTTGTAATTATAACCTTTACTTTAATATATCTTGTAAATTAAAGTAAATTGGTAAATAGTTTGGAAAACATGAACTGTTAATATCATTATTTTGTATTAAGTTAGTACTTCAATTTTTATTTTTGGTATATTGTAATATAATACGTTATATTTTTCAGTTATTATTACTCAGAAAATATCATCAAGTATTGAAAGTAATGTGTAACATATTTGTATGAGTAAACGTAGTCCGTCATTATTACATAAAATAATCGTGATTGCCAAATTTCAGAAATCGTTTACGCTCCAAATAGCGAAGAAATTACAGAAATCGAACGCACCCATGCGTTGCCACTTTCTCTAAAACATTCGATGGGATCGAAGTGGAGTAAGTAGTATTGATGGCACTTTGTAATAAGCCATCGAACAGACCGTGAATTATGCTCATTCAATTGAATAACGAAATGGTAGTAAATTTCTGTCTCGGTACCGTATGAACATTTTTATTGGGCCGTGGTCTTAATACTTTATCAAACTATCTATACACAACAAGACTTGTTGTGAACATTTCAATTTAATTTTTTCTCATTCTTTAGTATTATTTCTATGTATTACTCTATTTAATTTATCGTGCATTATATTGATAGTATTATGTTGGTTTTGTTGGAAAGGAATGGAACAAAATTATTTAAAAAAAACATTGTTTTTTCTTTATGTTTTTAGTAACAATATGTTATCATAAGCATTACAATAGACATTTAAAATAATAGAACATTTTTTTATCCAATTCTTTAAATGGCATGCATATGGAACACATATTTTTAATGATATGTGTGAAATATTAGCCGTAGTTACTTCATAGTTTTGAATGTATAATTAATTAAAATCACATACCTAGTTATATGTATAATGAATATTAGTGACTGTTTCTGATATTATTGTAAATAATTAATTCATTTTTCTGTACTAACTAATTTTTAGGTTCCGTTTTTTTTTAAAAATAAAATTACATATTTTTAATATATTAGACTGATTGGTCGATGGAGCTCGTCATTTTGTATAAAAAATGTTAAACGATTTATGCCACAAGTCATTAGTTTAGAAAATATTCTAACTTCAAACTTCCGAAGTAATACTACAAATACTATGTTTACCCTCTTAAGGTTGGGGTTCAAAAGTACGTCTTTCAGCCTGAATGCGGAGATTTACTCGGTTTCTAAATAACCTGCCAATCTTTTCCAACATTTCTTTCGACATTTTTTGTCATGCCACCCATACAGACACATTAGAATATTAGATGTTAGGTGTCACGCTTGACTACAACTTCGCAATATTGGAGTGGTAATTCTCGTAACGGTAGTACCTCTACAATAATTTTATTCGTATATTCGAAAAAGGAAATAGAATATCTCTTACTGTCTGTAGCATCTCCGTTCGAAAGCAACATAACTTTTTCTACCAACTACAATGTAAATATTATCTCTGTATTAGAAAGATTTAGAAATTTTTAAACTTTATTTTGATCATTTTAGTATTACAGATGATTGTAAATACAATAGAATATATCAAAAAAATTGTTAAAACAATCGTTATATTTTCCTGCTTTTGCAGTAAGAAAAAATGCACGCTGTTATTGTTTAATATTCACGTTAATTATCTTCTAAGACAGTTGCGTCCGACTAATTGTATGTTACACAGAAGTAAATATTAATTTATATTTACCAAACTTTTATGAATACGACATTTCTATTTGATAAAAATGTTTTTCTTCGATTATGTTAATCCTCATTAACATTACTTTGTTGACTGGAAAAGAGAAAACTAAGATGATCAGACATCACGGGACATACGTCATGTTGAAGTTTTTATTAAGATCCTCACAGAAAACGTGGAGCGTGATATTGATAAATAACTATTGTAGCACGTTACGATAAGAAAATGTATAATTAGATGATGTAAGTAAGATATATAGTAATTCCTTTACTCAAAAGTGAGACATAACAAACTGGAAAGACGGTTCAATTATTTACAATTTGCAGAATACATAAAAGAAAAGCAAAAAAAAACAAATACTTAAATGTCATTGATTCTAACACGAGGAAAACGTCAGATATTAAAAAAGATGATGTCTTTGATATCACCAGAAACAATTAATATTTTCAGATTGGACCGATCTCCAGGCGGGGTCAGTTTTAAGCTGGTGTACTCGTACTAGTAAAACTTTCTATTTACTTTCTATTACTCACATTAATATTTCGACACCAATTCAATCTTAACTTATAAGCTATAGGTACATATTGAATAAATATACGAGTGGCAAAATGGTATCACACCATATTAGAGTGCAATATATAGATACAAGAGATAAAAAAGCTTTTGATTTATTACATACATTTGCTTAAATAATAGGAAAAAAGATCGAATTCTGACATCGTAAAAAAATCGAAGGCTTTACAAATTAAGTTGTAAAATCAGAGTAACGAATTTTGTGCCAAGATGTAGTACTTGGTTGGATACCTCATATGTTCAATAACATGTATTAAACGGTATAGCCCGTTAGAAACTATTTTTAAGTAGTTTTATGTATATATGTATGACTATATAAGAAATATGAATATTTATTTCGACCTCACCGGTTATGAAATGAACTTGGTTTACAATTCTATCTTATGCAAACTCATTCATGCACTCGTCATCCCACGCACTTCTTCAAAAAATTTCTCCTTCTTCTTTTCTACCTTTACTAATCATTCATCTATTTTTGCGGTTCCTCTCCTACCTAGTACTTCCTCTGTTGTGATCATTCCATTCTTTATGTCCCTGCATTCCTTTAATAAATGTTCTAACACTGCCTCCCTCACTTCGCATAGACCGAATTTTCTTACATTTTCCGTTTCCCAGAACCTATTCTACCTTTCTGGATTCCCACACCTTGCTCTCGCTATCCGTTTCTGACTCCCTTCTTATCCCTCTTTCTTCAAGTAATTCGCGAGTTACTCACAAGCAAAGGTACGAAAATGTCCTTCTCCGATTTTGATGAAACTTCGTATGTCTGTTACGCAGTCAAAAATAAGGCATACGTATTTTTTTATCGGCTAAAACGCGACTTTAAGGGATAAAAGTCAGTCTACTTATTACAGTACTATGTATACATATTATTGTATCTTTTAGTATATGACGATATATTTATATGTTTTTAAATGCTTGGTTAAATAATATCTTCATTTGAACATAAAATATAAATTTAGTTTGCACTATAAACGGAATTTTTGTTAAACGCATTATTTGTATACGTAAATACATTACTGTACACATTTTTATTTACGTATGTAAATACCTGATGTGACATAGATTATTTAAAGTAACGGTAATATATTTATTTGTTTCAGGAAAGGACAAAAATAAGCGAACGACAGCTAAACAAAAATCAAGGTAATAAAGAAACAAGTTTATGTACGGTTGAATACTTTACGGACAGAAAAAGTAAGATAAACTGAAAAACGGAGAGCGAGTATCGAATCAGTTTAATACAACAAACAAGCTATGTCGGCTAACGATATCTTAAAAACAAGTCGTGTGCATCCCCGAAAACAATGCTCGGAGAAGTGACGTAAGTCCATACTTTCCAAACGTAACACATCGTAGATTATCTGTAACGAGATTTCTACGGTGCGGTGACGACAAACAGAGCACAAAATATCCAATTAACTCAGTTAGCCTATCTTGATAGAGAAAATGAGATAACAAAACATTCCAGTTATCACTCTCATAAACTTGGATATTGCTCAACGTATCATCCTGGACCGTTATATGTACTGTAAGTAGTGTCCAAGGAAATTCACAAAAAAAAAAAAAAAAAATACGACTATGAACCAATTTGGCGGTGTGAAAGTTTGAAAAGAAGATCTCAAGAAGGCGAGAAATTTCAGTGTAATTCTTAAGGATCTTTGATTGCTCAACAATTCAAGATGAAATTCATAGGGTCGTTGTTTGGAATCAGGTCGCCCAAGACCATGGGCAAACAGTACATGAAAGTGGGAAGAAACGCTCTTTTCGGTTTAGGGACAGATCAACGTGATAGCCTGTGCTCGGACAAGGTCCCTAAACCCCTGTCATTTCTTCTTACTAAGAACGGGAAACTTAAACACGGTAAGATACACCTTGATGATTTATACTAACTGTATGATTCCGTTATAACGTGTTGCGATAGCGTGCAAAGGGATTCTGAAAACTAAGAATCGAGACTGCCAAACTTTCATATTTATATCAACACTGCAACTTGTAAATACACGTGAAAAAAGACTTTAGGAAAAATTAAATGTAATAAGTAAAGAGTTAAATTTAATAGAAGTGTGTTGTAAAATAGTTATGTTTTGATACAAAAGATTCATTATGTAAAAAACGTTTTGTTCGAAAATATAAACATATAAGATTTCTGCAGTGGTCTAGATACCGTAGTAATTCACGCGTCTGATTCTGCTTTAACAAAGTTCTGTGAATTAAAGCATAGAAACTAAACACTTTATACCATTATAACATAATGCCCGTTGTTTTTAATTTTTTGTACATTAACCCATTTGATGTTAACATTAAGAAAATTGGATTCGAACCTTTTCAATGGCTCAGTGCAAAATATTTCATTATCAATTTCAGTTCTTTACACACACACACACACACACACAAACATATATATTGAATATTCTTTATTTCTCCTTAAATTCAAAAACATTCAATGTATCATTGACTTACTACAAATTTGTTACTAATAAATTAGTAATATTATTTCTTGAATAAGTTTAAAATTCCGATGTACAGATGTACAGTAAAAATATAGGATACTCATCCGGGCAGTATATTTTTTTTTACGCGGACTATGTATCACGTATAGAATACAAAAAGTTGATTGTGAATAAATGAATATAATCAATATTCTCGGAGAAGTTGTATTGCCTATATTAAGAAAGGGATTTATTACAAGTGTAGTGTTAAGGAAGTGCAATAACAACATATGAATAATATAGAGGAAGGTATGCAGAGTAATTTGGCATCTTGTTTCCTTCACTTTTTTGTGTGTTTTTGATAAAATAACAATTTGAAAACAGTGTTTTTTTTTCGTAAAATCAAGTATAAAACATTGAATTACTTTTTTGCACCCCAAAGCACCCCTTTACTTTTAATATATTTTTATCCTTGGACATTGATTTATATATTTCTTGAAAAATTAGATGCTAAGAGGTGCTAAATGATAAAATGTATTCAAAGAACCGAAAACTAGAAAGTTTAAACTTTAAAATGGTTTTTGTTTCATCAACTTTGGATGAATAATAACAAAGTTATGAGATTTTGAAGATTGAGTAAATTTTAAAATAGTTTTGGCCAGCATTTCGGGTCAAATACTCCACTGTGCGCCGTGGCGGCTTCCCTTTCAAGAAAAGATTACATGCCCGGGTATCGAGTGATACAATAATGCAACGATGGAACTTTTTTATTTTTGGTTCTTTGTTAATGAAACTTTTACGAGCATATTGGTGAGATTTTGTTATTTAAAATTATACCAAACACGATATAATTTGGAGCATATTTACTTATGTAGAAAGTGTTAACAATTAATATTCTTTCATTATCGCTTCTGATAAATTATAGCACGGGTTGTAAGACACATTTAAAATAATAATAGTGTAGTACTTCTAGTATGTTATATATCACCGTAGCATGAAGTAGTACAGTACATATAAATGTATAATATTCAGAATAATAATAGGTATATAATTATAATTCCTCCGGTTTCTATCCATCGTGGGTCGGCCCTTCAATTGTAGAAACGAACTAAATAACAAATAACATAAATAAATTATTTTATCAGCAAGGTAATGCTGAATTTTGAATATTTTTGTCGCAAATATGCACGCTATTACTTCTCCAACTATTGAAAATATTAAACAAACTTAATAGAATATTAGAATCCCTTGTTTAATTGTTATTTACAGAGCATTTAATAACAATGTATTTTTTTAAAAATGGAACTGCATATTTTTATTATTGCCATGTTATTAAGTATTTCAAGTACAACACGAATTCAATGACATATTTGAAAGTTCTGCTTGAATACTAATTTCTCGGATCAATGTATCAATATTTTGTAGTACAGTAATAAAAATATGTAGCTCCGTTTAAAAAATTACATCGTTGTATTTTAAATGTGTCTAACAATCCGTGTTTGTAACTTATCAGAAGCGACAATGACAGAATATGAATTGTTAACGCTTCTACAGGAGTAAATATAATTCGAAATATATCGTGTTTTGTATCATTTTAATCGGAAAAATCTCACCAATGCAGTAGTAATAATTTCATTAATAAAAAACCAAAAACAAAAAAGTTTCATTGTTGCATTAGTGTTGTATCACCGATACCTGAGCATTTAATCTTTTTTCGGACTCCCAACCATAGACATGTATATATACATAATATTTAATAAAGTGCGCGAGTCTGCCGTGTTCCCGCGATAACGTCGGCTACGCGCTGCGAATGGTTTTTTTTTACAGCTAAAAACGGGTGGAGCTTACAACTTTCTCCATCTTGCATAGAAAATTTAAAAAATGTATATTTTTTGTAGTAAATCTAAAATTACTTCTTCTATAATAATTATAACTGTCATACATACTATGAATTATACTAATATTATATTGTGTAATTTTTTTCTTTAATTCAGTGGACTTAGGAACGAATAAAATTAATAATTGTTTTTTCATCTATTACCTTCGGATTGGGACCCGCTAGTTTCGCGATAGACACCACTGTGTGGTGCGTTACTAGTGAAACTTTAAACATTAATATCAATTAAAGGGGCAAGTATGTGCAGCTGATTTTTGCAGGACTGTTATTTGGTAGTATTTGCTATCAAAAGATACCAACCAGAGAATGTAGGAGCATGTAGCTTTTCTTGTACGGCTAAAGAAAGTAGTTATAACATGAAATTATACGCATCTTTCTTTCAGACTCTATAGTATGATTTTGGTTAAGTATTTTCGGGAAGTATTTACATCATACATAAGCTGAGACTACACATATTTATAATATATGATACATATGATTAGAAATGTCCCCAAAAACGAAAGAAAAATGCCGAAAGTTTACCTAGAAATCTGTAAGAATTCAGCTATAATGCGAAAGGTCTACTTTAGGTGCATTTTTCTTCCTTGTTAAAGAGAAAAACATGTATCTATTTCCACAGCAAGATACATTGGTTCATTGACTACCAGAAAATAGTACAAAATATCTAAATTACAATTTTCATAATTTGGATTTTTTTCCTGCTTCCATCCACTGTGCGACGTCCCACCAAACACAAGTTTAGTTATTAATTACTATCTATGAGTTCGCTGTTCGATATTTTTCTAAATAAGTGCAAATAATTTCAATACAGAAGTAATGGAAATGTACATTTTTTTCTTTATTTGAAATCGTTGTTCTATTATTCCTCCCAACTGAATCAACAATAATTTATATTTTATCTAAATATTCTTTAATCATTCCAGGAATTGGAAACAGTACTTTAACCAATGAACCGAATCCCTGCAAAAATTTCATCCTAAAAACTTGACCTTTCCCTCTCGTCTATTAAAACCAGTCGTAAAAGTAATCAATCAAAGAGTATATTTAAAGTAGCAAACGGCGTTACTATGGGCAATGTTAATGAAAAGACTGCTTTGAAACTACTTCCTTTAAAACTGGAGTAATCGCACTACCTTCCGTCTTCGTACCTCGAAATCAGGAAGAAATTCTCTACTAGAGAAACTTGAATTATCATAAGAACTTCTCGTTTTCTCCATCGTAAGGAATGCACTTGTTACCTGGTTTCCGGTCAAGTGCCTCTCCAAGAAACCAGCTCGGTTGCCGATATGGAACATCCTTTCGATTAACTTTGAATATTTTGTTCATTTTTCTTAACACTTTACTACATTCACCGTTTCACGAAGCAGTTCGGTTTTTTACAAAACATGAAACTAGTGAGTCTTATTCAATTTTCGTATGTACATTTTCATATGAATACTGGGATTGATAAATATTTAAAAACAGAGTAATTCTTACCAAAATTTCATTCTTTATAAATTATTAATGTATTACAATAAAAGATAAATAAATTTGTTTGCAAATGCAAACATGAAAGATCCAATATATCCGTCGCTTCTATTTTGATCTATACTTTACATGCAGAATTTGACGCGAATATAGACGAATATGTTAGCAAGAAATTTACAAAAATACATTCAATTTTTAATATACTGTGTGAACAAACGTGTGTTTATAAAAACTGTTTACGTCGTTCAATTAGTTATTGCAAGACACTCAATATTGCAACTTTAAATATTAATATTAATATTAAATAAATATTCGGTTTTACCGCAACAAATACAACTATTTAATTGTAAAACCTTATCGTGTACTGTTGGCTTTACAAAGGAATATCTCAAACCCGAAAATTCATAAAATTCTGAAACTTTGCGAATATGTAGGGGTTTCCCTCCTGATTGGCAGCGCAATTTTTGTTTGCTGTCCAAATTTACTATAAGCGGATGAAATTAACTCCTGAAAATTCGGCTATTTTCCGATTTTGTGTTATAATTCGCGAACTGTGAGAGATAGTAACAATATTTCAAGACAAAAGTTACTTCTTTTAATTAGACCTGTTAAACAGTAAAATATTTATCAATTGTTTAAACAATTAGAAAAAAGTTACAAACACAAATATCAATAATGCTTTTTAAAATTCGGTTTCGCACGTAAAATTTGAATTGGTGGTTTAAATAATTATGAAACAGCATAATCCATTTTTTTTCGTACACATTCAACCTTCGTTGTATCGCTGTTCTAACGATTATTAGAAAATAATACGCAACGCGTAGAAAAAAAGTAAGAAAATTTATATACTTTTGTTTCTAATTACACAGGAGGTAAATATACCATATGGAAATAGAGGAAAATAAGGGAACTGTTAGATATAACTTATCCTTATTGGAACTTTTTATTTTTAACATAGTTATCGACCTTTTCTCTTATTTTCTCACTAAACAGGTGAGACAAAGCAGGCGATTAATGAGCGATTTAGTTACAGTTAAATAATTTTGAAAATACTTATGTATTATGAA